AAATCACAGACAAAGCTTATTCATTTACATTCCTCCCCCCACTGCTCATTCACCCCTATCCAAACGAAGTTTAAATCTACCCATTCACATATTTAGACTTGTGTTCATCTTGATACTCAAACTTTATATCTTTTTTCACTTTAATATCCAAAGTATCTTTAACACTTGGATACTCCAAAACTTTGAATCCACTTTCACATTGACATCCAAAGTATTTATTCAATATTTTGGTGCCCCACAGTTTTAATTTCATTTCAGTTTGATGTCCAGTTTAAATTCCGTTAGATTTTTTTTTTGTTAAATTTGTAAATGTATCAGCATATGATACTTGCAAGCACCTGCTGGAAATGGGATACAAGAATAGGGGGGTGGGTGAATAGGATTGCTACGAAATTTTCTGATAAACACAGATTATGCAGCGGATAATAAAGAATGAAAAAGGGAAAATTTGCAAAATAGACCGTTTTTATAAAGTAATTAGCGAAATAGACCACTTTCAAAAGTAATTAGCAAAATAGACCTCTTTTTGGCCAATAAGCCAAAAAGAGGTCGATTTTGAAAAAATGGCTTCAGAAAACATACGGGACTACTAGTCCCGTATGTTTAAAGCTAACTAATCTAATGATTAGTGCACTAATCATTAGATTAGTTAGCTTTAAACATACGGGACTAGTAGTCCCGTATGTTTTCTGAAACTATTTTTTCAAAATCGACCTCTTTTGTCAAAAAGAGGTCTATTTTGCTAATTACTCTCAAAAGTGGTCTATTTCGTTAATTACTTTATAAAAACGGTCTATTTTGCAAATTTTCCCAATGAAAAACTAATAGCAACCAACACAGAAACACACAAGATTTTTATAGTGATTCGGATCAAAGTCCTACATTCATTCTTCCTACTTGCGATGACCTTCTTCACTATGACCGGAGTTATCCCTAAATCACAATCCAATTCAGTAGACTTTACAAAATAGAACCCTGAAATCTATCTGAAACTAATTGAGATATCTAGCTCCCCAGAATGACCAGAAAAAGCCTAGCACTAGCTAACCACACACAATTACTTTCATTTGAGTACATCAACCCTCAATTCGGCTTGAATATGCCGTCAAACTTTCAAGTTTGAAATACAACACTAACCTAAAATAGTTAAAGCGTAATTAAAAATCTTACAACCCTTTTAAAATAAATCTATCGATATTGAGCGCAACCAAAAGAAGTTGAATGAGGCTTAAGAAATCAAACTCTAACTCACAATCTCTCTCAAACCCTAGAATTTGATCTCACAATCTTGTGCAAATATTATCTCTCTTTCTCTTGTTCTTAATATCTTCTCAAATCCCTCCTTAAATAGACATTGATTAACTTGAAAAGAAGTCCTCCAATTAGTGTTGAAATAGGAGATCAAATTGATCAAACGACTGAGATTGAATTGGAAAATCTGCCAAAACGTGTCTAAACCAATGATGGTTGAACGCGATCATCAATGGCTAATGCTATTCATCAATGATTCCTTGTAGCCCATCGATTGTTCAAATTCTAGTTTGTGAAATTCATAATTGTTTATTGTAGTCCATCGATGGTTGAAGCAATCATCAATGATTGACTGTAGTCTATTGATGGTTCGGTTTCTCGTTTCTGAAAAATACAGATTGTTAACTGTAGTTTATCGATGACATATGGACCATTGATGGTTGCTTCGTGACCATCGATGGTTAATGGCTGAAATCAACAATTCATGTTGATTTTTACCTTGGATTTGAGTCAAAACCTTTTCATACATGTTTATTCCTGAAATATATCATTTGACAAACTTTTTAGTACCAAATGAGAGTTTGTTATTGACCAAATAAGAAATATTGCATGAAAAATGTTCTCCCCGAACAAAGTTCTAACAACGCCAATATCAATTTAACAGAATAACTCATGGAATGTAGATAGTGGTATCAAAATAAACTTGAAACTTTGGGATATGAAAGTGTTCGAGAAATATGCTAGGTATATCAAACTGAAATGGATTGCAATTCTAGAACATCAAAGTGAAAATAAGCGGGCAGATTGATTCAACAATAGTTTCTAATATAGCCCTATGAATTTTGACAATTTAAGTGGACGGGTATACAATTTTAACACGTGAGAATGTGGGAGTTAATTAGGGAGCATACATTAGCAAGGAGGATTCTGCAAATAGGATAGATTTGGGTATACGCAATATAAGCGGGACAAAACTTCAAAACCGCCTTATTTGCAAACTTAATCCCAAAAACCGACATGTTTCTCATTTATTTGCAAAAACCGACCTAGTTTCAGAAAAAGTTCACAAACTTCATGAGAGTTAAAGTCCCGTGAAGTTTTTTTCATAACAAAACTTCATGGGAGTTGAAGTCCCGTGAAGTTTGTTATGTAAAAAATTTTACGGAACTTCAACTCCCGTGAAATTTGTAAATTTTTTTTTCAAAAACCGATCTGGTTTCAGTCTGAGGGCTGAAACCAGGTTATTTTTTGCAAATAAAGTAGAAACAGGTTGGTTTTTGGGATTAAGTTTGCAAATAGGGCTGTTTTGAAGTTTTGTCCAATATAAGCGCTAATTAAATCCCTAAATAAATTCATCAAACCCATTTCTTAGCTCTCTCCAATCTAACGAAAAATCCAACGAAAATTTCAAATCTCTACTCGACTACAGATCCAATCATCGAAACTCCACGACAAGACGAATACCCAAATCTCAAAATCCTCTCTTTCTTCTCTCCTTCTTACTTTAGATTCAGTGTTGTCATAAATTTCATCGATTTTGATGATTTCTTGAGATGGGTTTTTGATTTGAGCAATGGATGGGCCATGGAGCGGGGAGAGCAGAAGAATGGCGTCCTTTTTGGGTCGATTCTTGCTGCCTCTGCTGCTCTTAGCAGGTTTGTTTCTTTGATTTTAGCCCTGCATCTAATTTTTGGGTCGAAATAATTTGTGGGTTTTTCTTGGATTGAGAATTTCTACCAGAAAAATTTGATCTTGATGAGAGATTAGCTGACTCAGTTTGTGTTTAATAGCAAAATTTTTAGTTTGGAAGCTATTAGTAAAAGTGTGATGCTCTTTGATGTCTACTTATATAGAGTGCTTAATAAGTATTTATGAAGTGTGCTTCAGAATGAATTCACCTCGAGCTGTAATTATACTTACTGAGGCCTCGCCACGGCTTGCTTTCTTGGATTGAGGATTTGTGGCAGAAATTTGATCTTGATGAGAGATTAGTTTGCGCAGTTTCAAATAATATTGAGGAGTTTTGATTGACTGGTTTCATGTTTTCAAGCAATTCTTTTATTACTTCAGAAAGAACTTGCTGGTAACTTAGCTTTGAGACAATTCGTCAGGAAACTCATTAAGTTTAATTTTTAGGAAAATTCCATATCCCTCAATACTTTTACTAATAATCAAACTTAATGAGTGTTTGGTGGAAAATTTGTAGTAAATAAAATGAAAGAAATTTGATTTGTATTCTCTCGATCTCAATTACAATTTGGATTTTCGATTACAAAAGAGAGGAGAATTGATCTGAATTCTCCCCTTTGTTTAAGTCTGGGTTCTTCACGGTAGCGATGAGATGCCTCCCTCAAATGCTCGCGTCGAGTTTGCTTCTCGTTGACGATCTGAACGTCTTGTTTCACTGGAACATGGTCTTCTCCTCACGATTTGACGCTGTGGAGGACTTGCGTGGCAAGTTTGAAACTCTGAACGAGTTGATAACTCAGAGCGAGTTTAAACTCTTGTAAAAGAGTTGATTGATCTTAACCGTAATTGGTTAGACAAGCCAAGCACGAAGATAGCTCCTGTTGTCGAAGAATGCCCTTTGCTGATCTCTAGATCTGAAAATGCTCAAGGATCCAAAGATCTCTCTTGATCTGCCCCAGCCAAAGAGCCCTCAACTAAACTGATTTTTTAGTTATTTATAGGGGATTAAGGGGTGTAACCGTCCTTTTAATTCACTCCTAAGTGGGGCTGAATGGGGTGTAACCGCTTCCTTAATCCGCTCCTAAGTGGGGGCGAAAATCCCTCAGATCATGGGGAGAAAACGGTTTCTGAAACCGTTCAACTCGTGTTTGAACGAGTTAAACGTAGATCCTGTATTCTGGAATGAAATCTGTATTTGAACGCAATGTTTGCAAACTACGTTGGGCAACAGATGAAACCTGCGTTGGTAGCTGTTAGAAGCTGCGTTGGCAACAGTTAGATGCTGCGTTTGGCAGTGGTTGGAAGCTGCATTTTACAGCATTTAGAAGCTGCGTTTGGCAGCGAATGGAAGCTACGTTTGCAGCATTTAGGAGCTGCGTTTGCATAGCTTTGACTCTGGAATGAGGCCACTTGTGCTTCACCTCTGGGATGCAGAGATGAGTCCTGCGTCTTGGATTGAAGAGATCGTTAACTTGTAATCTCTTATGTCATAGCGTCGCGACGATCGTTGTTTTGTAATCTTCGCTTTAGATCTTTAAAATGTGAGAGTCGTCAGATTGTAATTCTCATTATTGGTTGTGAAGACAATTGATCGGAGCTTTCATTGGTTGTCGTGAAGGTCGTTGATTTGTAACATTGATCGATCTACGTGAAAGTCTTCAAATTGTAGTCTTCTGAAAGCCGTCGAATTGTAACTTTCATCATTGGTATTTGATGAAGATTAGCTATTTGTTGTAATTTTTAAACAACCTACAGAACTATCTCCAAAGTTTTTGAAAGTTCGCGATTGACTGAGACAAATTTTCGGAATACTTTGGATCTCAACTCTGATCTTTTGTTGATTCCTTGTCATAAGGAGTTGTTCTTTGCACCCGCTTCGAAGGCGTCTTGGTTGAAGGGATTTTCCACATAGGACCTCCATTCAGTTGATGAGCCCGCAAACATTCATAGGATTTTTGGCAAACCCTCAGCCATCAACGAATTTGATAAGCCTTTACCGATTACCGTTTGAGTCGGCCTAATATGTGAATTATTTGAATCCGTTTCACATGTAACGTTGTGCTAAGAGAATAAACTCTCTTGGACTTAATGCTATGATTTTAAATACATTAACTTTGTTGTTTTTACGAAAAAAGACCAACCGGCAACGTGTATTAGACGTAGACTTATCTCTAATTAGGGATCGAGATAAAGTCCCCCATGCGTAAAAGACATGGATTTTGGTGCTACGATGTTGAATACGTAGACTTGATCATTTTCGCGGGAACAAACCACCCAGCAGCATGTGTTGGATGCATGTTTATCTCTGTTTAGGGGTCGAGATAAATTTCCCCATGCGTGTAAGGCATGAATTTTGGCGTTATTAATAACGACCTGCTAAGATGTTGAATACGTAGGTTTTTGTCCTTATTACGGTCAAAGACTAACCGACAACGCGTATTAGACGTTGACTTATCCCTACTTAGGGTTCAGGATAAAATTCCCCATATATGCAAAATATGGATTCAGAGATTATTAATTTAATGATAATCACTGATTACGATATTGAATACGTAGATTTTGTCACTATTTCTTCTTGTGTTACTTGAAGCACTGAAAGAAAGTTGGAAGCGTCAGAGGTGTAATATTAATTTGGCATGAATTTTCACTTAGAGTGAAATTCAGAAATTTTTTTTATTATCACTAGGATAATTCTAGAAAATCTTTAATCCACTGGGGATTTTATGATAAAAACTTGCTATTCTTGTTATCACTAGGATAATTCTAGAAAATCTTTAATCCACTGGGGATTTTATGATAAAAACTTGCTATTCTTGTTGAAAAAGGATTAACAAGAAATCTTTAATCCACTGGGGATTTTATGATAAAAACTTGCTATTCTTGTTGAAAAAGGATTAACAAGTTCAATAGAGAGGGTTTGACGGTTAGAGGTGTGATGTTAATCTAACAGTATTTTATGGACCTATCGCTCTATTGAAGAGAGTCGATAAGTTGATTTGGTCGTTAGAGGTGTGATATTAACTTGATGGGTATGTGGACCTATATCTCTATTGAGAAGAGTCGATAAGTTAATTTTGTCAGAGGTGTGATATTAACGTGATAAGATTGAATATTACGATCAGGGTAATTTTGAAGACCTATCGCTCTATTGGGGAGAGTCGATAAGTGAATTTTATCAGAGGTGTTGGATTAACGTGACAAGAATTTGTGTTACGATTGGAGCAATTTTGAGGACTTATCATCCTATTGAAGATGATTGATAAGTTGATTTGTCAGAGGTGTGATGTTAATATGATGGGAATTTATTGTGATCGGAGCAACTTTGAGGACTTATCATCCTATTGAAGAGGATTGATAAGTTGAATTGTCAGAGGTGTAGTGTTAACATGACGGTAATTTGTTGCGATCGGAGCAACTTTGAGGACTTATCATCCTATTAAAGAGGATTGATAAGTTGATTTGTCAGAGGCGTGGTGTTAACATGACGAGAATTTGTGCGATCGGAGTAACTTTGAGGACTTATCATCCTATTGAAGATGATTGATAAGTTGATTTGTCAGAGGTGTAGTGTTAATGTGACAGGAATTTGTGTTGCGATTGGAGCAACTTTGAGGATTTATCATCCTATTAAAGATTATTGATAAGTTGATTTGTCAGAAGTGTGGTGTTAACATGACGGGAATTTGTTACGATCGGAGCAACTTTGAGGACTTATCATCCTATTAAAGAGAATTGATAAGTTGATTTATCAGAGGTTTGGTATTAACATGACGAGAATTTGTTACGATCGGAGTAACTTTGAGAACTTATCATCCTATTGACAAGGATTGATAAGTTGATTGTCAGAGGTGTAGTGTTAACATGACGGGAATTTGTTGCGATCGGAGCAACTTTGAGGACTTATCATCCTATTGAAGAGGATTGATAAGTTGATTTGTCAGAGGTGTGGTGTTAACATGACGAGAATTTATTATTATCGGAGTAACTTTGAGGACTTATCATCCTATTGAAGATGATTGATAAGTTGATTTGTCAGAGGTTTGGTGTTAACATGACGGGAATTTGTTACGATCAGAGCAACTTTGAGAACTTATCATCCTATTGACAAGGATTGATAAGTTGATTGTCAGAGGTGTATTGTTAACGTGACAAATTGGGAGTGATGCAAGCTGTATTCATACTCTGTAGGGGTGATGATCGTCAGAAGTGTAATGTTCACTCGACGATGTGAAAGATTTATTACTCTTAATCCAATAGATTCTAAGTAACCAACCCCCAGTCTTGATTAAGACTTAGCAGGGGAATAAAAAGAGGGGTTGACATGACATATTGTCTTGTGGGTCACTATCTATCAAGTCGTTCAGTGACATTGGAGTGTAACGACTACGATTAGAATAGAAGCACGTCACACGGCAGACCGCTATCTGAAGAGTTTGGCTATCAGAGGTAACTGTTAACGTGATAGTTTTGTGGACCCGTCATCCTATTGAAGAGGATTGACAGATTGATGGACTATCAGAGGTAGATGTTAACGTGATAGTTTTGTGAACTTGTCATTCTATTGAAGAGGATTAATAAGGTTATAGACTATCAGAGGTAACTGTTAACCTGATAGTTTTGTGTATCTATCATCCTATTGAAGAGGATTGGCAGGAGAATTTAGAGGGAATGGACTATCAGAGGTAATCATTAACGTGATAGTTTTGATAGATCTGCCATCCTATTGAAGAGGATTGGTAGATTGAATTTGGAGGAAATGGACTATCAGAGATGATCATTAACATGATAGTTTTGGTGGATCCGCCATCCTATTGAAGAGGATTGGTAGATTGAATTTGGTAAAAATTAACTATCAGAGGTGATCATTAACATGATAGTTTTGGTGGACCTGTTATCCTGTTGAAGATGATTGGTGGGGGAATTTGGGGAAAATGGACTATCAGAGGTGATCATTAACGTGATAGTT